GTAAATGCTACCCTTTCAGTACAGTCATAAGCACACAGTTTGTTTTTGCTGTGTCATTGGGCTGCTCTTCTCAGATTCTTCCTCAAAATATTCTGGGAATTCTTTGCAAACAGAGARCATTTGAAATCCCACTGGCTGCTCCTTGATTGGTTCAGTTACAGGCTCCACCAACTGCAGCAAAGCTGTTTCCAGCAGCTGCCTGCAGACAGACAGGAGGTCTCTGTGCACCGAGCAGGGCAGAGGATGGCTTTGTGACCTCTGTTACCCAAGTTATCTAAAAGCCTTCTTTTTACAACCTAAAGAATGGATCTTTCATTACACAGCAGAATAACACTGGCTTGTTTTGAAGGAAAGTAGTAGCCCTGTTTGGGTTTAAAAGCAAAAATATTTTCAATCTCTGCACAATCAGGCTCTTTGGAATTCAGACAAATGGCCTTAAGTAAAAAAATCTTAATTCTTTCTTATTTAAACTGTCTTAAGGCCATGGGGAGATTTCTTCCTTTATAGTAAAAACCTCTCTTTCTCTCACTGAGCTGTAAAGGTAAAAGGCAGGATTTGAATAACAGGGACTGGTGAAAGTTGACCTGAGTTTCTGTCCTACTCCTCTTCCTTGAGTAAACCACATTTGATCTGGGACTCAGGGCATCAAACTGTTGCCTTTTGGATTCTGTATTCATTCTCTTCTCTGCAAAATAACTTATCTCTCTTCCTCTCTACCAGATTCCAGCAATTTTTTTCCTTTTTTTTAAAAAAAAAAACCCACCTAATTTCACAGACTTCCATAGTGTCTGACAATCAGAGAGGCATGGCAAATTCAGTAAACAGCTGAGACCACCGGGAGCATCTGCCCTGACTCCTCACACAAAGGGGAACTGCAGCTTTCAGAAAWGGGGCTGAAACACTATTTGAAAACTGTCATGTTCAGGTTTCTCTGTGATTGCAGGCTGTGGCTTCAGCATTGCCCTGGTGACTGCCAGCTGTCCAAGGCCTGCCTCAAAATTGCTGCAGTTTCCAAACATTATTTGTATGGACATTATCCTCCTTTGTAGAAGGATTGTGCTTGATCCAAAACATACACCTTTTGGCATTTATCCCAACTGTTTTTTGTGCGATGTGACATTACTAAGCATCAGAAATTAACAAAACCAAGGGACAGTTTGGTATTCAGYTTGTGAATTTGGATTCTCAGCAGAAAAAGCCAGAAAAAAGCYACATGAAAAAAAACCCCAGGAACATTAAATGCAGCCTCCACCAACATAACTCTCCACTCAAACACTGTATAATTTATGTGTACACACTCACTATTAAGAAAACTCCATAATTAATAAAAAAATAGATAAACACTGACATTAAGGTGTGATGCCATAGATTTGGCTACATTTTTTTGGTAATAAGCATATTCACAAGCTGGTTCTTCCCTGAAACTAATTAAAGACATCCCATTGTCACCACATCCATGAGAATAGTTAAACAGACAGACATTTATTTTCACATGTGACAGAGTGGTAGGTTTGCTCATAAATGGACAAAGAAATCTATTGATACATGCAAAGATGTGAATGAAAAATCAGTGCTTAATTTGAAAAGAGACATGCTKAAAGTTTATGGAGTCCATTAGCCAACTGTTTTTTAATGTTAAATTTTTTCTTAAATGCATTATCAGAAAGGTGGATGCTTTATTTTATTTTTGTCCCATCTTCATAGTTTACTCTTCATTTGTATGTTTTATATCTATGTGAAAATTTGGCCCGAAATGCAGATAGCTGTAAATACCCTTCAGCCTGATGCTCAGTCATGCTGCAACCATCCTAAAAATGTTCAGAAATATAGCTTTTTTGTTTTGTTTTGTTTTGTTTTTTGGGTTTTTTTTGTTTGTTTTGTTGTTGTTGTTGGTTTTTGTGGAGAACTTGAGAGAAGGTGAGAAGGTCTAAAGTATAATTCACAATTTATGGAGGTACAATGGCAACTATTAGCTGCCATCGAAGAATAACTTTATTAGATGTAGTCACAGGACTACTACATTGACAGGAACTCAAATGTCCATGAGTGCACTGCAATCAAGACAAGCTGGCATCATGGAACTCCTTGAACCACAGCCACAACTTTTTTTGGTGATGGGCTGTGACACTAASTCATGTTCCAGTGCCCTTTCTAGTGACTATGTTTTCCCACCCTGGAGGTCCTGGCACTGAAAGCTCAGTTTCTTCCACATTCTGCAGCTCACAACTCTCTTGGCCTTGGCATACCAAAGGTCCTGTGGGACATGTGGCCCCACAGCAACCAAAGCCCTGTAGGAGACCTGTGACAGACCACAGCAGATGTGTGAAAAGTAAGTTACTCTGCTGCTCTGGTATGTACATCTAGGAGTAAGTTCAACCAAGCCAAAGTAAACAATGGCAGGTGATCTTTGAGTGCAATGCCACTCGCACCAAGCTGTATTATTGGTAGTCACGTTTGCCCAACTTTTTCTAAAAGCTACATACACCCAATGCTGCCTAAGTGACAGTATCAGAAATATCTCATTTGTGTGTGGATGTAGCAAAACTAGAATCAATGGCAAAAAATAATTAGGTGTGAGGTGCTGAGAGCAGCTTGGTGGCTTAAGATGCAAGGATGGCAAAAATGTCAACTTAACATAGAAAAAATGAGGAGTGAAGTATAAATCAGCTGGAGCAAAAAAGGAAGGTGGATCCCCTAGCAACAGCAGCACAAATGTCTGCAGGTAACAGTGATGGTTATCTGCATGYCCCAGCCCACTGGGATGCTGAATGGACCCTCCTTGGACAGCCCATCACCTGGACTGTGTCCATTAGATTTGGTGTGGGAGGAAATCACTTTGCACCTCCACGCTAACAAAAATGTAATTTGACTGCAATTGCATGCTTATATATTTCACTGGACTTCAAACCTRTAATTAGCAGTTTCACAATCAAGCCAAATATCCTGCATTGTTATTTAATTACAAGCTGGTATATCTGAATGCCTAGATCACTGAGAACCCTGCTGTCCTACACATTTCCTTCCAGTGTGATCATTATTCAAAAACACGTTGATCATGTTTGCATCAGCTACCTCTCAAGTCTCCCACCCTGAAGGGAAAGTGTTAGACTTTGGCAGTTATGATTCTACAAGCAGACTGAACCCAAAATATTCTTCTGCCTGCCAGCACCCAGTTCTCTGCCAAAAACTGATATGAAGTTAATCAGTCATTATTTATTGTCCAGGTCCCTCGTGCTCTGTGTTTTGTCTGTGGAGTTGCCCTTGGCTACTGAAAAAAACCCCAAATGCCAGACGGACCTTCCTCCAGATTCTAGGTTATCAGAAATTATTTTCAAATACTGTTACAGAGGCAGGGCAGAGAATGCGAAGAAGTGATGCAGGATTAATCTCCAGTGAAGAGGCAGGCTGAGACAGACAGAAATATCAGCAAGGACAAACTGCTTTGTATTCCTATGGATGAACGCTGAAGGCCAAAACTGCAGTTTCATCTGTCAGCTACACTCCTAAACACTTTGGCAGAAATATTGAATTACTCTACATATGGGCTGCAGTACTAAATTTCAGTATTCCCTGACCTCTAATTTCTTATGTTCCCGCGTCTACTGAAAACACAAGGTCTGGCCATTATTCATAATTAATTGAAGCTGAAAAAGACACTCTCTTGTACTGTGAGACTATTTTCTAAATGGAAGAGAAACTGGCATTGAACTCGAAGCTTCATCCATTATCTTTTGGCTGTTGTACATTTTCAAGCATTTTGGCTTTTTGTTAGATACAGATTAGGGATGAACCTTCAATGTTTGSCTTTGAGAATCACACTCTAACTTTGAAATTCAGCCAAAAATACCCAAATTGATTTTACTTACTTACCCTTGCTTATATGTGTACATTCCTTATCTTAGGTCTTTTCTGAACTTTAACTGAGTCTTTGTGTCTGAAACCTCTGGACACACATATGAACAGCATGGATTTGAGAACTGAGATATTTATTTCCTTTAAGTGAACATGTGAACCACCTTCTAAAAAAGRACATGCTGCCCTGGAGTCCCCTTAGTGTTTTGCCCATGCAGATGTAAAAGGAGCTCTACATCAGAACACAGGTAAACAAGACAACCATGTTCTACTCTCATGCAAAAAGTCTACTCTGCATACTGAGAGTGTGTATACACTTTGTGCCTCCTCACTGCTAAAAAGGACAAAATACTTGCCTTGCAGGCACCAATTACAAAACAGAGGTGAGCAACATGTCTCTTCGTCCAATTGCTCTGGACCACATTCCTCTGTCCTCACAAGCCTGAGAACAAGAAGATAAAGCTTTCTAACATCTTTGGCCAGTACAGAATGGAGTGTAGAAGTCCTGGTATTCTATTCATATCTCATGCTGCTGGCTTAGAGATAAGAACATCACCAAAATGCCTATTCTGCTCTGGAATAAAACATACTAGTTTAGGCAGGCAATATTACATACTAGGCAGGCAGGCCTATTACAACATACTAGTACTTAGGCAGGCAATATCCTCTGTTGTTCTAATAAATAGACATTTCAGTGGATATCTTTCTGTGCTACCTTTATAAGAGCAGGAATAATGTGCTACTAAAAATGCTTGAAAACATCCCTTCCATTTCAAATTCACCTGGAAGAAATAAATCTGTTTTCTTTTAAATGTAAAGAAATAAAATCCTGAAGAAAGGTATTCACTGACTGCTAGATAAAACACTTCTCTATTCTCACCTATGGGATTAAAGCTTTCTAAAATTCATATTTGAGTACATCAGAGGCATAGCAAGTTCCACCAGTCTCAGCTTGAAATGAGTAAGTCCTTAACAGAAATGAAGGAACTAAGTAACGTAACTTTCATAAGTGACATCAACATCCAAGCACGACTTTTAATTTAACAAGAAAGAAGAAAAGTTGCCTCTTTAATTCAAAGCATAAAAGATAATGATGCTGTCAGACACAGAACAGAAATTCTGCAAAAAAAAATCAGTAACAAATGAAGTCCAAAAATTATGCATGAATTTTATTAGAATACTTTGTTTCCTGAGCTAGATTTACAACACAACATGCAGATGCATTTAACAATGTACTTCGCTATACATTCTGCACTTGTGACAGCTGTGCAACAAAAGGAGCAATTGAGAGAGTTTCCAGTTTTTAGTAACTTCAGAAAGTAACAGAATGTTCAGTAAACAAACAACTTTACTGTTAGTAGTGTCAGTGTTGAGTTTCCAATGCTTATCAAGCTGAAAGGATAAATTTCAGCAGCAGACTTAAAGCTCTTATACTTTGACACAACTTCTACATTTGAAGTTTTGGCAGTGTTTATTACATTTCTTTCAYTCACTTAGACATAAGAGTAGCAACTTAAGCACATTCAGGCTCTAATGCCTCGACTGAAAACACAGAAGAGGACAGTAGTGGCAGAAAGATGAACAGTACCTCAGGACAAGCAACTTACATCAGYGTAATTTTGACAAGTTCTTTTGATGGGTCACCAAGCTTACTGCAAGAGTTCTATATGCATGTACAGCAAAAAGATGGCTCCACAAAATGTCAATACTTTTGCAACCAGGTAACACTGATGATGCTGATTCACAAAAATGGTGTGCAAATGGGGCTCAATTTCACATCTTTCAGAAGCTTTAAACATTTGATTTAGGATCTTTGWGTTTCAGGAAAAGGAAGGCAATTTTTGGGATCTAAATAAAGGACAGTATTTCTTTTAAAATCTGAGTACTAGAAATTTCAGGAAAAGCTGTGAATCTAACTTCTGTTAATTTTTCTGCCTTGCTGCATGAAAGTAACACTAAAAAGCTATCTTGAAAACAGAAACCTGTTTACAAAGAGAATTATAAACAAGGTAAACAACAAAGCATACATGGCTTCTCCAATCAGTGCATGTCTTTCACTTTTTCAATGAATATTGAGTTATGACTTTATGCTGAAACTTGATACAAATAAATTCCTGTATTTGTCCAAAAAGAGAAAAVATACAATAACATGCAGTACAAGCGTACCTCTGATTTCTAGACAAAAAAAAAGTTTGGATTCACCTGACACTGCAATGCTCTACATGCTACTGAGAAAGAAAGGTTGAAGCACACCAACAGAAAATATGTTTTGATTTTTAACCTATGCTGGAGACATGATAAACTGAACAGCTTAATGATTAGAGTTAACTTACTAAAATGCTAATCACATTAGTTCATAGCTGTGCACATCTCTKAATTAAGAGATATATAAAATATATCTCTAAATATATTAATGGTGATGTAAATGAAAAAATACCACCCTTTTTAATCTTTTAGTTTGGCTATCACTTTGAAATTCTTTGAAAAGGTCGAATACTTTAATCTAAATATTTTGTCAAGCATTGGAACAATCTGCCCAGGATGTGGTGGAACCACTGACCCGAGAAAAGTTCAAAAGATGTATAGACATGGCACTTAGGAACATTGTTTATTGGTGACTTGGCAGTTCTGGGTTAATGGTTGGACTCAATGATCTTGAAGGCCTGTTCCATTCTAAATGATTCTATGAATCTCATTGAAAATGGCAATGGAACTACCTGTAGCAGTTTACACACAGAAAGACTGGCAACTGCTGTGGAATGACACAAGTCTTGTGTTTTGTGTTTTGAAAGACCTCAGTTAGCTGATCACTCAACACTTCACTGCAGAATATTCCAGAAATATGTAATGGAGTATCCTGGTTGGCACTTACATGCACAGAGCTGCTTGAATAATGATTAGTTCACACGTGCAATGTGCTGCTATTTGAGCTGCTAATAATCAATTGTCTGCACTCAGGAATAGCACTTTGTAGTATATGAAAAATTTCAAATATGTCTAAGTGCTCTAAAGGAAAGAGCCAGTAGTGTTACAAGATGCAGAGGAGGAAAGCCATATTTCAGATTTGCACCACATACATAAAAACAACAATTTAAAAAACTTGTTGAAACTCTCAGAAGGCGCCTGTTCTGCAACCTCAATGGTTACAGAGAACATATATATTGTTTTCTGTAGAAACACTGAAAATACTGACACAGCAGAACAGGGAAAATCTGAGATACACCTGAAAGAAGTCTCTGGGGGATAAAAATTAAAATGCTTCTTTTTATCATACACCAAAATATGTTCACATTTATCTACTAAGCCAATATGGCCAAGGAACCRCTGGTAACATTTACTTTCACAATTAAAAAAAACACACAGAAGAGACAAATTAATTAAAATCATGCTTATGTAGCTAAGCTGATATTTCCTCTAACAAGACCTCTAATGTTTGGGACACACTCAGTGTTACTGCGCTCCTGATGCTTCACCCTCAGTCATCAATGCCTATCATCAGTGTGGGGGTCACACTGACAGATTTTGTGCTCTGCAGGACTGCAACATCCTGATTTTAAAACGTCATGAGCATGTCACGTTCCTGTACACTGGTGTAGAATGGCCTCCCAAAAATAAAGGAATGTAGACCTGGTTTAATCTTCTCAGCCAAAGCCATTATTATGTTAAGATCGCCCTCTGCTGTCAAGTCAAGATCTATCTTTAAGCTTCGAAGAGACTTAAAAGGTTTTTTTCCTTTCTGCCTGCAAGAAAATAGAAACATGTGTTTTAAAAAAGAACAAAAGAAATTTCTCTAAATTTGTCTTCCATTATTTGTTCACTTACGTGTCATCCTCTATGTACTTTATTAAAGTCAAGGCTTTTCTGTGRAGGACTAGCAGAAACTGCGCAAGGAAAGTACTCCTCAGAGACAAGCCAGGCTTCAGGTGAAAGATCTGTTAAAAATTGTACCAGAATATTAGGTACACATGGAAATTCAAAAACCATTTTAAGAATGTAGAAAATAAAGAAACATTGTATACACATATAACATATCCTTAATTGTAGCAAAGCAGGTAAATAACAGAAGATTTGTATATATTGTCAGAATGCTTTCCATGTTTTCTATCTGTTSAGATACAATAAAAGAAGCTGTATTACAATTCTGTTTGGATAATTATCTGAATGATTCAAGTCAGGTAATTTTTTCAATACTGTTAAGATAGACACTGTTGCACAGCAATAGAAAATGTCCCTTGTTTTTCACAACTAAGCAGGAGTTTCAGTTTTATATTAGTGTTTTTCTTTCTACTTATGCACAGAAGAATCACAGCAAGAGTATGAAGAAAAGCTACCAAACCATTAAATGAYCTATTTGTGTTAAATTTGCTTTTACTGGGGGTGAAAGTACTAAACTGCATTTATTTATTTTCTGAAAAAGCAACAATTACCTGATCCAGGAAAGCTTTTACTAACGTATCTCGATGCAGGATATCTTGAAAGACATTTCTATAGAAAAGAAAGCAAACATGTGAGGTAATGCCGTTAAGGAATATTAACATTCCAGGAGCTGAGCAGAGCAATAGCATAACTGTTGACAATTTGGCTGAAAATTAATTCAAAATAGTGGTGARCTACAAAAATTCTGGATTTTTAAAAAATAACAAAGAATTTTAAAGCATTCAGATGAAATGAACTAAATCTAGGAAAGCCACTGGTCCCTGTCAAACACAATTAGCTCTAGTATACCCCTGATAAAAGCAGGCAATAAAATTAATAAAACATGGTTAGAATTACSGCTGAAAATTAATTTCAATGTTATTTGATGTAATCAAACTACTGAAGGACCCGGTAAATTCCACCAAAACAAATGTAACTACCAGAGCTGAAGAAGGCTTTTTTTCAGAAAGCTCCATGTACTTTGATAGCAAGTAAGAGCTATACTGCTTTTACACTATTTTCCCAAATCAAGTCACATTATGAGATGTGAGAATAGTACATACAAATCAGGTGTGAAACTCTCATCTGTGTGGATAATATGGTCTTGAGACATTTCTTCATCTGAATTAGCCCTCCAAAATGCTGTCAGCTCAGATCTCATGTATCGTCGTTGGTTATAGATGTGTTCATGACAAGGGGGCATCTGCTTCACAGTATTGACATCCACATCTATATGTGTAGTTGGGTATGGGGCATACATTACTTGACGGAAGGGCAACACAAAACTTCCTGTTGCATCCTGTTTTAGGAAAAAAAATAGTTAAAAACACTGTATTGGGACAAAACAATATTAATGCATCATMCTTAAATTCTGTAACCCATTTGTTTAGATATATTTTGTTTGGGACAGCTGGTGATTGTAGTACAGTAACAAGTCCTTAATACTGGATAACTTCCTCAATGAAACAGTGCAAACAGTACCGAGGTGACCATTGTATTACAGTACTGCATCACCTGTTTTGTAAGTCCATTAGCATTACAGTATTATAGTTAGCTGGTGAGGTCAGACTGCTCACTAGAGCATTATTTTTCTTCACCCTCACCTATTGCTACAGACTGTTTAAAATACTTGGAAACTCAGAACTGATGTGCTGTTCTTCTTTGGTATTGTTAAAACACAAAAATTTTAATGCCTTTTGGTATTCTAGCCACAAGCARACAAGAGTACAATTATTGCACCTCAACGTAGAGGAACAATCCTAAACAATATTCAAAAAACAGACATGTCACAGAAAAGACTAGCTTGGAATTTTAACATGAAAGTTATTACAAGGATAGCTACAGTGCCAGAAAACGTGACATCAAGGGAAGATGACCTTKTTCTGAATGTAAATGTGTGTATGTATGCGTGTCCGTATTATATGTACCAACATACACTGACGCATGTTCTTAAAACYACAGAACTTTCCTAAGTGTACTTACTTTGAGTAAGCCTTGAACAAAAAGTCCTGACTCGTATTTGAAAGAGGATTCACTTCTACAGAGTCGGGAACACTTCCGCTCAGATGGTGTAAGAAACAGGCACAATGTTCTCACAATCTGCATTAAAAAGAACAGTTTTGAAAAGTATGAACATGAAACGAAGTAAGTCAGACTAGACTGTATTAGGCATTTCAAATAATGAACGAAAGAGTTCATCATGATGATCAGAAAAGCTAAAACTTTATAAAAAGCCACAGAACAGTGACATGCTTTCACTTATTTTTTAATTACTGGTGCTGTAAGGCATMCTATTCCAACTTCTTGTCAAATGATGAATAGATCCAATACTTTTTTGCAACAAAGTTTTTTTTATCCAATTATGTAGAACAAATCACTTTTGTGTTCTTCTACCTCTTTTACATAAACAAGAGTTACTGTGATTACTTTCCTAGCCTTTTAAGCATCTTATTTTATTCATTCCATATTGAAATAGCAGTTATTGTCTCAAATCAGACACAGTCAATTTCCTTAATAAGTACTCATGTTTATTTCYTCAGTAATTTCCTTAAACTCTCAGTTAAAATGAACACTGGTACTTCATCATTTATTTTCAAACTCCTGGGCTGAAATAGCTACCAGTAATAACTCCAAATACAACATGTACTCCATTCTGTTCACCTTTCAGTCTTAATCTATGGTATCCTGTCTCTCTCTCTGAGATATTTGAAAACGCTCTGTCCTCACACAACTTGTTTTTGCAATACCTAAAACAACGACAACACAATTTCTGACTGATGCTTTTCATCACAATATGCCACAAGTGTGTTTTTTTAACTTTGAGGCAAGCTAAAGTATGCCATTAAGAAAGCAATTACTTCAGAACAACTGTACCGTGACACAAGCAGCATGYTGCTGATAAGAACATGTATAGAATTTATCTATGAAATTTATCCTGGATGGATCTTGAGGCTCACATTCYTTTACACAGTTTTTTTCCTACGCTGTATAGCTTATTGATGTATTATTTTACACATTCATAACCACTTAGACCTTAAATACTTTTTACTAACTATTTCATGATACATAAGYTTTTTATAACTACTTAAGCTTCTAATATTTCCTCTTATATGTGTGTACATACATAACACTTCTCTTTAACATGTAACATTTTCAATAACTTAATTGTGTGTAAATTTTACATCTCTGAAACAACACATGTCAACTAGGGTTAGCTGATTTCACTAAGATCTGAGAATTTTCCTTTATTTGGTTTCCCTGCTGCTTATGACCATGAGCATTTACTGTTGATTTGATCAGAGCTGCTTTACCATTGCTGGTAGCACAAAAGAAACAATGCATTTCTACGGCCACAATTTTTATAAAGCACAACAAACTGTTTATTTCAAAACATAGGATTACTAAAAATGCCTTGTATTTTGTTTAAAAAACTGATACACTTCATAATTTCAATAAGCTATAATAAAGCCATAAAATAYCTATATATAGTATGCAGGGGCTATATGACATATTCAGCAGGCCCACTGTTCACAATTTTTATTTCACATTGAAGGAATACACACAGACTCCATGAAACACAAGCACTCACAAACACAAAAGTATGTTTACCGCGTAGTGCAAGAGAAATGATGGAGGCACTAATTGTTTAAGAGCACAGAGACAGTATCCAATGACATGGGTAACACTATGTATGAGAACGCTCCCAGTGCTCTCCAGGGGTCAGTTCTGGACTTGGTCATGTTCAACATCTTTACTGATCATCTGGATGTGGGGATTGACTGCACTCTCAGTCAGTTTGCAGATGACACCGAACTGGGCAAGAATGTTGATCTGCTCAAGGGTAGGAAGGCTCTGCAGAGAGATGCGGAGAGACTCAATGGGCCAAGGACAAACTCCATGAGGTGCAGCAAGGCCAAGTGCTAGGTCTTTTCTTTGGGTTATTAAGAACCCCAGGCAGCACTACAGCCTAGGGGCAGAGTAGCTGAAGAGCTATTCAGCAGAAAGGGACCGGGGAGTGCTGGCTGAGAGCCAGCTTAATATAAGCCAGCAGTGTGCCCAGGTAGCCAATAAGGCCACTGGCATCCTGACCTGTGGATGTGGCCAGCAGGACCAGGGCAATGACTGTCCCCCTGTACTTGATTCTAGTAAGGCCACTGCTCAAATCCTGGGCTCAATTCTGGGCCTCTTGCTTCAAAACAGGAGAAGGATCTCTTCAAATCCAGAGAAGGGTTTATGAAAGGACTAGAAAACATGTCGTATCAGGAATGGTTGATTACTCATGAGGAGACTCAGGGTTGACCTCATTCCTCTCWACAACTCCTGAAAGGAGTTGTGCCTGCAGTAAGAGGACAAGAGGAAATGGCCTTAATCTTAGACAGAGGAGATTCAGATCAGGTATTAGAAAAAAAAAAATTTTTGCTGTTAGGGAAGTCAGGCACTGGAATAAGTTGCCCAGGGAGGTGGGTGGAGTTCCCATCCCTGGAAGTGTTTAAGAGGTTTCCAGACCCGGCACTAGGTGATGTGGCTGAGTGGTTTAGGATGGCAATGCTAGGTGGATGGTTGGACTGGGTTATCCTGAAGACCTCTTCCAACCTTGATGATTTTGTGATTCTATGACACAGCTGAAATGAGCAAACCAGTCAGGTCTCTTTAATTTGTATACCTGAGCTAACAAACCTAATTTTAAAAGCTCAGACTCATTTACTATTCATTCATATACTGTATCAGTTAAATAGATTGTTTGTCTTATAGTTGTCAGAATACAAATGAAAGGCAGAATTATCATTTGCTAGACCAGTCAGCTGAACATAACCAGACAAAAGTATTCCCTCCTTCTTCAACCTCAAGTATGTTTATAGATCTATTCTGTTTCAAGTAACACACTAACACTCCTAATAATCAGCATTTTAGTTCAGTTTATTACGAAGTATGTTACCTTATTAACTTTTTCTGCACTGCTTCCTACGACTACAGAACAACCACACGTCTGCAGGTGTGAACTAATTGCACTGCGAGCAAAAACAGACACAGGTTAATACATTTAGTCAGACTTTTCAAATGAAACAATTATCACCTTCACAAGAAGAATAAAGTGCTCCAAGTATAAATATAGCCTAGGCACCCACAACTGTAAGACTTTAAACAGCAGGGTAGGTTACTGCTGAAATCCAAAAGTTCAACAGTTTCTTTGGTACTGAAAGTACATGTGATGGTGTATAAATAGGTGCCACCAAGCACCACATAAATGAATGCAGTTACACAGGAGATACTATGAAACGTAACAGCGCATCAGTTAAAACCTATAAAATACTTTYCCACAGGAAGAGATCAAGTTGCTCTCAAGTTCAACTATTTCCACTTAAAAATTAAACACTGAGAAAAAAGAGAAATACACAACTAAACAATAACCATTCTGTATGCCATATCATTAATGCCTCTTATTTAGAATTCATGCACAATCCAGGTTCTTTGCTATTTAAAAAAAAAATGCAAGACGTTGACTGAGTCTTACAAAATTAAATGCATCACAGWAAAATTTGTATTTTATAGGAATTCTATTATCAAATGATTCTGCAACAACACAGTCTACAGAGATGCAGCTATTAGCCCAGAACCATTCTTSTAAGAAGACAGTAAATTTTATAATGCTTTATTAACAAAAATCTCAAAAAGCAATATACATGTCACTGTTCCCCCTCCCATAATCTATTCCAATCCATGCTCACACGCACATGCAGATGGATGCACTTATATGCATACACAAGTTTAAATCATTTTACTACAGCATAAATCAAAACTGAATTTCATACTTGAGGAGAAAGCCTTCATGGCAACTATCCCCAATGTCATCRTCATTTAGCACTGTGTCACTTATCTGAAATGCAAGTAAATATAAACAAAAGTTAGACAAGGATCTGAAACACTTTCCATTAATTGATTTTTGCTTTGATAGGCGGGAGATGTTTGGGAATGATTTAAGTTAAATTGTAAGACTTCCCCAAAAAGCACAATATTAAAAAGACCTTCTGACTTCAGGCAAAGAATTTTGAAATGAGAAAGGCACATAATTATTCTTACAAATCAGGTTCCTCTCAGTGTTTTTTTTTGTAAAAAAATGTCCAAAATAGTTTAAATTAGTGCTTGTTAGATTACTTCTACTTCTTCGATGAGAAGACTATAATGCGTTCATACACATATCAACATCAAACCTATTAATTTGCTCATTCATTTTGGTTTGCATCAAACAGCCTTTCCACCTGTAAAAGGATATCATCCTATACAGTCAATTTTGCTAAGGGATGACCGTAAAAAATATTGCCATTCCCTAGACCGCTTAGGAGAACTTGATGTGAAGCAATAGAAGTATACAAGAATTTGGGAAAATCGGAATTTTCTCTGCAARCTGAGTACAAACCAAAGCACCAAAGCTGTGTTTTATCCTGAAGGTAAAAGTCACCTTTTTTTTTTTAAATTCAGAATACAAATAAAACAAGAACTTACATCTATTTCTTCTGGAACACTGTGTGATTTCATAGATGAAAGGAGTTCCATTACAGGAATGACCTCTCCTGTCAGCATTGGAATGATGCTCTGACCCTGCACAATGAATTAAATGCTTGAAGCAGAAGTACATTGGATTAGGAGTCACTACTCATAGGAACTTGCACTATTACACGCAAAACATCTTTAACCTCCTATTGCTTAAAAGGTTAGTATGAACAGAAATTGGTGCATAGACTTCTTGGGTTTTGGTCATCAATAATTATGACCTGAAAACATGTATTTGGCTTATCAACATCATGCCTAAAATGTATTTCTGGGTCTTATGCTAATTTTCAGAATCAGTTTTGACTGGACTAGACAAAAAGTGTTTGAAATGAGATGATTTGATCATACTATATTATGTACAATCACTGTTAATCATTATACATTGAAGTCTGATGTTTTAACAATGATAGGAAAAAAAACAGACATATTAGTTATTAACATATAAAAATAGCTTCCTGATTTAACTATCACAACAAACCGAAGCCACAATTTCACATTCAGAGTTTCAGAAATCAAATTCTTTGCACAGTCTTATCCATTAARTCTCCAAGCACATTCCAACATGACAGACTCTCTATGTCCCTATAACTCAAAAGAGATGACCTAACCTAATGAAATAAYAACCCTGACAAGAGGCCAGCGTGACTCTATGGAAGGTACTACCTTTAAAGAGCTTTAAGTTCACGTTAATGAGTTGCCTTTTCTGAACAGTAATGTTCTCCATAGATTTTCACTTTACCCTTGAAGCATTGAAATATATTTTCCCTTCTTTTGATYACAGCTTCTATCATCCCATCTTCTAAAACTTTGCCTACTGTACATGTCACATTATTAGCCAATCCAATGCACCTTCCCAGATCCCAAAATAAGAAGCAGCACCAACTTCTGCAGCCACCAGATCCAGTCAAATGGTCTTGTAATGATGTGCCACATGCATCAACAGATGGCCCTTACCTGATCCTCCATTCTTTCTGTGCCTTCCAAGACAATCTTCTGGAAATGTTCTTGCCTCTCCTGAGCAAGAGAAGCAGTTAAATATAAACGCTCTTGCATTTGTTCRTGTTATGTATGCACACAACAGTCACAAAGTACAGTTTCTTCCCTGTGGATGTCTTAGATTCAAATTTTGATGTTCAAGTCTCTTCTCTTTTATAAAACTGACTTTAGCAGGAAGTGATGTCGTGCAACCCAGATCAATRTTCCCTACTCTGCCCTTCACCAAACAGCTCCCATGCATGGGACAGGAGTAGTAGGAAAGGGAAGGTTTGATGACAATGTCAAAACAAAAAGCYTTTGCATTGCAAATCAAGAAAATGCCACAGAAAATGATCAGATTATGGTAAAGAACTCCACTTCATGTATGGATTGTTATTTCTAAATGGATACAGTATAGATGGATATACGAGGATCCCTGATGCAACAAGAGAAAAATAAGTTCTTCACAATGACTGGGGGAGGGTAGGAAATGAAAGACTTTTTCCCCCAACCTCAAAAGGCATTTACAAATCTTCAAAACATTTTTTATGACCAAATATAGGAGACATGTAACCTCAAAGTACACAAAAGTACATAACGTACAAGAGACTGGACAGAGCTCTGAGAACAGATTCATCAGCCGCTGAGTAGCAAACTGCATTTAAAATGAACTTACAATGGGATGAAGTTATTATTCACAAAGGGAAATTGGCATTAATCACTGGAGCATCAATACAAGACACAAAAAATAGGGGATGCTGAGAACTAATGATGTCTTCTGCTTGATGCTGACAAGTTATTGCATTTTTATCCGTTACTCATTAGTTTCCTGTGACTGACCTACTCAGAATTAATCAACTTCAAGTGGGAGAAGAAGTTGCATGAGTTTTTTCTGAGCAAATGAATAAGCTAGAGTAGCTTGCCCTAAAACAGTAATAAAATAAAATKTTTCTAACTATCTAAAAGATGAATAGTGAAAAATAATGCTGGAACAAGGCAGATTCCTTCAGGGCACCTCAACCCTTCAGCCAGAGAAGGAAGACATCCTTGACAATGATTTTAAAACAACCAAGTCTTCTTGAAGATAAGGCTACATATATGGTGTGAGCTCCTTCTTTTCAGAAATATAACCATTCAAAATTATTAGACAAACATATAGAACATAAATTGGAGTAGGTGAAAGGGATGACTTGCTCAGAGTTTCTTTGCCAATATGAATTTTCTTTCCCATAAAATGCTCCATGTTTCTCATAATTCTCAAGTTCAGATGGCTTTTTCTCATCTCAAGATGAGCTGCAAATATCTGGCTCTACACAGAACTAATGAGACAAAACAATCAAAACTATTAGAACTTCCAGAACTGCCTCAAAATGCAAATTACAGAATGTACCAGTTTTAATTCATTATCATTGTTACGATTCTACAACTAATGCCTGAATTTTAATATACATTTTTCAAGCAGTTTTCTCCTTTCTAAATAAGACTGAAGAACTGCAGGTATAGGCAGGGATCTGTGAACTTCCTCAAAAAAAAAAACCCAAAAAACAAAAAAGAAGATTATAAATGTCTATTTCAGAATGTTTGAATCACTGTCTCAGATAACTCAGCTTACCTACCTGTTTCAAAAACATCTGAAAAAGAATGAAGAACTTAATGACTGATTTCTGAGTAAGAAAAAATTAGTAGAAAATATTTTTCATTCGTGATGCTACTTGAAGGCTACTTCTACTGTGAAAGCATACTGGTATGGATCAATACCTAAGAACCGAGAAAATCTATTATAGCTAAAAACGATGGATAATTCTTATKTGACCACTCCCATTAGAAGTCAATACAGGACAGTAAATGAGAGAAGCAATGTAATCAGGAACATGAGCATTCAATTACATCCAAACCACAAACATCTACCAGGGTTTTAGAAGGCTAGATAAGGAATTACATATTTCTGATTCTACTATATTTAGAAATAATTTTCTGTACTATCCTTCCTCCGAAAAGTAAACCACAGAAAGTATGAAAAGCTAGTGTGACAGAAAGTACCACCAGCCATCATCAGGCAATAAAGCAAAAAAGAAACACAACCACAAAAATAACATCAGCTTGTTACTTCTGTGATCTAAATTGGTTCAGATAAGAGCACACAAAGAGCAAGTTTAAAGTATGCTGATTACAGATCTCAGAAGATATCAGACAAATGTGCATCACCATATTCATTGTCGCTGATGTGCACTCTACTGCTTTAAGACAGCTTGAACTCCATAAAGAAGACAAAAAAAAATATTTTTATCATTAGACTTATTTATTTGCAAGACAAAAGCATAAAAATTTCCACTTAAAAAGGAAATATCCATTATTTACCCAAAGGTAGGAGTTTAAATTCCTAAGAAAAATTTAGCATGTTTTCCTTTTTGAGTTTCAGGAGTAGAAATATTTGGACTAAAGCAGATGCATTTTTGTAGATTGCCCTTTGGTTCTACACAGTTTAAGTTCTGGCATACTGTTTGTTAATACACTCTTTTTGAAAAACAAAAAAAACAGCAATGACAAGCTCAATTTCATCAGTTCCCTTTTCTGGAGTTCAACAAGGAAAACAGTAATTTGAAACAGTAAATTTACAACTCTACCTAATTTAATACACAAATTAACATGATTAAAAGCAACAATTTATTTGAAATTCAGAGAAATGAAATGCAGTACAAGATACCTGTTTCAACTATATAGTCCTTTAGAGGTTATATAATATCACCGACATAAATCATGCAGCTAAAAATCCCAGCCTTGAATTTGCTGACATAATAATTTGATAACTTTTAACCTTCGAGACTGTGTAGAGATCAGCCTTTTCTGAGTTTGCGTGTTTGGACTGCTACATAACAGATATCACAGCATCTCAAATTTTGCTTCTGCACAAGACAATCTAACAATTAGTTTAAGTAATGAACAATCAACTTACCTTATGCATCCATATCCTTCCTTTCCTTATAATATGTGTTAACCTATCCACGCACACTCTGTGAAGTGGCAGGTAGAAACCAAGTTCACTTTGAGGAAGTATGATTGATAGTCCATATGTGCTTCTGTCTCCATTCCAGTTTCCATCAAAGATTAATGACACAATGATCACCCTTTTTTCTGCCAAAACAAAGAACTTCACATCTATTGCACCACTTTCTGCATTCCGAAGTATTTCTCCATTCAGGGTGTGGTTAGCAAGAAATGTTATTTCACCGTCACTGAGAAGTACCTGTTCTGTCTTTGGAGCCCAGATATGCCGCACTCGGGGGCCAAGAATATTGTCCCAGTAAGCAAAAGTGGCAGCTAATAATGGTGACTCGCCATTCAAAGAGATCTCTGTCTTGGCAACTGCAGGAGACGGTGGTGGACAAAGCGCTGACATGCCTGTTTCCTCTCTCTTGTATAAATGAAATGTTTACATTACCTAAAAGTTTTTGTTGGGAAAAAGAAAAATACGTTAGAGCAGCCCTCATAATTCTCTCATCTTCTTTTTGAATGAGCAGCTAGTGATTGAACTTTGTTTAAACCAAGGAAATATTTAGAATTAGATGTTGAGATGTTTACTGTGACAGCAGTGATGCACTGGAGCAATCTTACCAGAGATGTGGATGACCAGTCCCYGGAAAGGGTCAATGCTGGGCTAGAAGGAGCACTGAACCAACTTKGTCTAGYGAGTGGCATCCCTGCCCAGAGCAGGGGAYGCTGGAACTAAATGATCTTTAAAGTCCCTTCCAACCAAAGTCTTTCTACAATTCTTCTGTTTCCAAACGACACTTTGAAGAGTCTCTTCATCACCTGAGATTACATTGTAGATTTCATTCAGAAAGGAAGCATGTATATATACATATACATACGTTCCACATAATGAAGTGGCATGCTTTACAAGCATTAGTCAGACCTCAAATGCCTTTTACTCACTACAGAAGTATGATGAACCTGCACAACATACACCTTGTGTAGAAAACTGACACAATAAATACATCCTTTATACCATACCAGCGTGTTAAGCTGCAAGACAAGTGCTCAGCGTTTTATAGAATGTTTTAATGGATAATTTTTTATCTTGTGTGGACACAATCTCTGAACCTTTTCCCTARGAGCTCCAACAATTCAACAGCTTCCCCATTCTGCTGGGGCTGCAGAAGATAACAGGAAGTTCCATCTTCCCTAAAAGTTATGCTAGAGTCATAGAAAGACATGAAATAAAAAAGGCTTACAAATTCAACCAAAGACAGGAAACTGTAACAGGTAAAACCCACTCATCTTGAGGAAACTCTCACATGAGCAGAAGGCAGCTTTCCTCTCCTCTCTGCCTGCAGCAGGGAATCCCACCCGGGACCAAAGGAGCAGGAACACACACCTCAYTGCCGCAGCTCTAACTCGACAGAGCTCTGTATCTGAACGGCTTTTTCCTTTTTTTATTTATTTCCTCACACAGGAGAGTAAAGCCTCTTTCGCTCCGGCTCCTTCTCAGGAGGCAGCCGAAGCCCCGCCCAGCGGGCAGCGGGGAAGCCAAGGCCATCTGACTTGGCCATCTGACACCGTGACTTTACGATTTTCAGGGAAGACAGGGCGACAGCCAACCCTCGCCGCCTTGCACCCAGGGCTGACCAGAGGCTCGCTCCTACCACCGCCTTTCCAAACGCGCGGCCGCTGCCACCTCGGCGCTGCCAGCCCGGATCAGGCCCGTGTCGCACCGTSTGATCTGTACCTCCCGCGGAGGCGGCGGGGAGGCAGCTGCGGGAAGCCCCGCTCGTTTCCCCGCACAGCAGAGGGGCTGCCAACACCGCAAACACAAACACAGCCCCGCCGCCACGGCCCCGCGCCCGCCTCACCTCCGCTCCGGGCTCCGGCCGCCGCCCCGCGCCTGCGCCGCCCCGCCCCTGCCGCACTCGGCGGGCTCCGCAGGCGCGGCACCGCCCCGGGCGGGGGAGCCGCGATCGTGTGGCTGCTGTGCCTTCGCTTCGCCCGGGAGCTGTGCCGGTGTGTCCGCCCGGGCCGAGCCGGGCCGGTGTGACCGCCGTGAGGCGGGGGAACCGGGCCGGTGTGTCCCCGGCGAGGGGAGCGGTTCGCGTCAGGCGGGTCGCTGTGGGAGGAAACAGCCAGTGCGCTTTGTGGAGAAAGCCAAGAGACGAAACTGTGTCATGCCGCGAGCACCTGGCATAATTTATGGGGAGGCTTTTAGGCTTAAAAGAGGAGGTTGGTAATGCCGGAGTGGTTTAGTATCCAAGCGTAGTGCATGCGGAATGGTGAGGGTGCTTGTCGGCGAGATTGGTTTCGTGTTTCAGGTACRCGGTGAGTGCCTTTAGTGCTCTGGAGCAGTCCTCTCCGGGCACCTACAGAAAGCCAGAGTGGGACTCCTCATTTGGAGTTAAAGTGATAGGACAAGGAGGAAATGGTACAAATTGAAAGAGGGGAATTTTAGTTTAGATACCGGGAAGAAATTATTTACTGTGAGGGTGGTGAGGGGCTGGAACAAGTTTCCCAAGAAGTTGTGGATGCCCCATCTCAGTCAGTATCAGTGCTCAAAGCCAGGATGAGTAAGACCTTGGGCAACCTGGTGCAGTGGGAGCTGTCCCASGCGGTGGCAGGGGGTTTGGRAMTAGATGGTGTTCAGGATCCCTTCCAACCACTTAACATTCTTTGGTTCTGTGAGTAAAATCACTAGAGTCATGTTTACATGTTAAAGGCAGKTACTTGTTTACAGCCTAGAAAAGAAACTTGAGGAGTATCCTGAAGTACCCTGAGGACATGTGTCTTTGGCACAAGCCCATAAGGAAGTTTTAATCAGACAAAAGAGACCTGAAGGGTGATTTGTTTGAATCATAGCCTCCCAATTCAATCACAAAAATCATTCTCCTCAAAATTCCTCACTCTTCTCTGAATCCTCAAGAGTTGGAATGGACCTCTGGAGGACCTCCTGTCCAACCTCCCTGCCAAGGCAGTGTCACCTAGGGCAGGTTACATGGGAGTGTGTCCGGGTGGGTCTTAAATGTCACCGGGGACACTCCATGCCCAGCCTGTAAAAATTCCTTAAATGATAGACAATTGAATAGCATCACACTGAAAAATGTAGTCTTCAGCCAGCTAATATTTGCCTTTTAGATTAATTAATGATTTTAAATACTGATTATGGCATGACTTATGTCAATGTGTTGGATTGTAATGTTAATTTCTGGGAAGCAAGGCTCCAATAAAAGTAAAAAACCAGAAATTTTATGTAACCATTACAGAAAAGCTTGGAGGAATAATGGAATTGAACTCTAGTTTGAAAAGTTACTGCTATTTAATTTGTTTAATAGAAAGATYAGGCATCAAACTGTGGAATTTCTCTGCTTACCTCTTGTCTGAATGTAAATCTGTGCAGTTCATAAAAAAAGGGTTTGTGTAATAAGTTATAAATTGATYATCGCACAGTTGAAGACACCAAGCTCAACAGTAAAAAAATGCAATTGGTATTAGATCAGTAATGATATTGGATAAGTGGATGTCAGAAATGAAGATGTATGGCTTATCTTCATTTTGTTGCTGGATTGTTGTGTGGCCTTGCATAAGACACTTGGTATTGCTGTGTCAGTTTTCCCATTATAAATTCCCTTGAGAATTSTACATTAAAGTCAAATCATCATGTTCTTTGCAAAGAAACATAATAATGAAGTACAAATCCTTTATTTTTTCTCGATGTTATAGATGAGTCTCTGTAAGTGCTGTGGTGRTGGTGTTGGCAGAGTGAAATTTCTGCCTGTCATAGCAGTATGGTTGTTGTCTTTTTCTTTTCCTTCACTGTTGCATACTTTCTTCTCACAGAGAAGAGAGTAACATTCTCTATTATTGCATATAATCTGAAGAGATTTAATAGTATTTCTGCAGGTGCCTTTTGTGGACACATCAGAGAAGTGAAGGGCTGTAGTTCAAGCATATATTTTTCCCCTGACAGAGAATACGTCTGGCTATGAAACCTAATGCTGCACATCTGCAAAGAGATTAGAGAGTATGTAACACAGAGAAGGTGAAAATGAGCTCGAGCACTGAGCTCAAGTGAAAACACACCACAATTCTATTTATGTTTTTAATATGGTATCCTGAGTCATCATCATGATGGATGTYATGCTTTAGAATAAGGGAGTACAAAGGCAAAAAGGGAAAGAAATAAAATACACTGGAATTCAGTTGCTCAGCCTGATGTATGCACTCAGACGACACAGGTTTGCATCACTGCATAAAATTGACCCTCAAGAAAGCTAATTTCACAGTAATGAAATGCTTTTTCAGCCTGAGCAGATTGTCACAAAATTAATGTCTAAGGTGAAAGGGAGTAAATGGGAAGGGTTGTTTGAAGGCTGCAAGAAGCAGTGGTAGTGTAGGTATGTGCACTATATGTGATTATGCTTTGTGTACACATAAGCAAAATGAAGGCAGGTTTAGAGAAAATAAAACTTGGACTCCCCTATCCCCARCTGGGCATTCTTACAAGAGGTGTATGATGGGCCTTTTCTCAGTACTTCTGGTTGATAGTTTAAGGCTGTAGTTTCACATCCATGTTAAAACCAGTGAAGCATGCTTGCGCTATCACTGCATGTTCATTGAGTGTCTTACTAGCTTCAACTTATTCCTGAAACACTGGCTTTAGTAAGTGCTAGGGCCTGTGCAAGTTTGAGCTTGACCTGTGAACACACACTGGTTCCACAYGACTGGTATTGATTCCATCTGCACCTCACCAGTTGTTTGTATCTGAGTGGTGCTCCCAGGCTGCTGTCATTAATGTTAATACTTCACAGATCATAGAAAGGGTCAGGTTGGAAGGGACCAYAGTTGATCATCTGGTTCAACCTCCCTGCTCTGGCAGGGTCATCCAAGAGCACATGGCACAGGAGTGCATCCAGATGATTCTGGAGTATCTTCAGCATGGSAGACCCAACAACTTCTTTGGGCAACCTGTTCCWGTGTGATCGCTAAATGCACAGGCATGATAGTGTAGGGACCTGCTAATTACTGTGATAGAAGCAGCTTGCGTAGATAGAACCACTCAGTTAAAGTTACCAATTTTCAAATAGAAGTTAGGGATACAGAATTTTTAAGTGCTGAGACAGTGCTTAGGTATTTAATGTTAAGAGTAGTCTCTCCCTGACCTGCCCCCCTCTCAGTTCTTAAACACATGGAAAAGGTGATTTGATCCCCTAAAGAAAAGTGTTACATTTCTTCAAGACCTCATGACTGGTAAAATAACAACAAAAGTTCTATGTAAATGGATGATGGAAGGAACACTGACCAAAGAGCTTTCTGCAAATAACAGTTGGAGCTCAGGKAACACTGGTCTTCCTCAGAATAGATGTCACTAAGTTTCACACAACAGCTGTTAAGTTTTCTACAGGTTGGGGAGACAAGACTATGGATTTAGGCAGTAAAGATAGTTAACTTTTTCTTGACTGCTGAAATCACACTGACAGTTCTTCAGATGCCAGAAATGTGAAAAAATGGAAACCAAAGTCAGCRTCTCAAAAGAAGCCTATCACCAGTTAAAAAAATGTAAAGTAAATCATGATGCTTTTTTATTTATGATGGTAAATAAATAGTCTTGGTCATGTGAGTTCCAAGTGTTTTCTTGATTCCAGAGTTGTTTCTAAAACATGGCAAGACGGGATCTCTCTTACCAGAGTAGTTTTGACCAGGAGYGGAGTCCACGCTGTATTGCTGCACCATCGGTTAGAAACAAATAAATTACAAAACTCAGAAAAATATCCCTGGGATATAACCAGCTATGTTGTTTTATTCTAACACCACTGATGGAGGGTGCTGTCTCAGTAAGATAATAAATGATTGTCAGAGAAAACGTGATTATGCATGAAGAATTTATCTGGAATTCAATAAATAGCAGGTAAGATACGTGTACCTCTCAGATGTAGTTTGTAAAACAAGTTTCTTGTAGTAGTAAGATCTTAGCTAAAGCTAGTTTTAATTAACCAAGTTCCTGTCCTGGGTATATTTGTCTATTAAAGACATTGTTCAGATGCAGTTACACAGCAAACTTCTATAAATTCAAAGTTTACAAACCTGTTGAAAACAGCTGGTCTCATCGGGCATGACCTCTTCCCAGCCCCAGGTGAGCATTCCCTCTCTCCTTTTTCTGCTGTATTAATGTTTGTGGGGTGATACAACTGAGCTCTGTCACAGATCAGTCTAAATCTTCTGAAAACCATTTTGTTTTGTTTGGGTACGTGGGCAGGCAAACCTAATGTTGTACAGAAACAAGCATATATCATTATATTCTATTGATMTAAGAATGAAACAAAATTGGTTGTAACTCAAGATCATATTTTGAAATTGGAGATGTATATCTGAGAAATACTCAAGTCTGAAAGATGCTGAAAAAACAACTTCAGCAGAAAGCTTTTTCGGTGCCTTCAATTTTTACAAATGGAGAAGGTCAGAGAAACTATAGCAGCAATGCTTATTAGCGCCGTTACATAAACCRCTTCCTCCTCATTTTCACTTCTTCTGTAGAGGTTTACTTTTCTTATTGGGGAAGAGAGCTACCTATTGATGAAAATCTCTGGGGACATGCTGTTTTTAAAGGTGGTAGATAGTCCCTGCAGTTTGCCATGGGTATGTGTGGATTGCCAGCAGCAAGGAGTTTAAGGAGGAAATTTTTCTTTCCTCCAAAGCTTATGAAAATGGCCCAGTACTACTCTCTTAGGATGGTCATATTTAAGAAATGTTTTAAAATCTTCTTTATGAGTGCCTTAGCATTTATGTACCATTGAGTAGGGGGGTGTAAAGTACTGTTATAAAGCTTCCAGATGCCATAAA